AGGTACCACGGGGTATCCGACTGACATGAATGAGCTCACCTCAACCCTCACCCCGTCCAGTATGTCAGGAACCCCCACAAATATCTTCACATCATTCCCCACCACCACCAATACAAAAACAACACTCAGTGAGACTACAACCTCAGTCAGCACGCCTACTCAAGAAAACACACTCACAGTCACCCAGAGCAGTCCAACTCCATCCCTCCCTACAAGCAGTCTAGTGACATCTGCAGGTGCCACAGCCAGCAGCAGTACCATGACCACTCAGACACTGAGTCCCACCTCACCTGCAACGAGCCCTACACCGCTGCACACAAACGCCGAATCCACCGTGGCATCCACTATAACGGTTTCGTACACGACAGCCACGAGCACAGAAACACCGTCCTCCACTGCAGCCACTACACAGACGGGCAAGACGACAGACACACCTTCTCATGCCACATCCACCCTGAAAACAACTCCTAGTCCCACTGGTGATTCCTCTGCAGTGTCTCTCACAACAGAGCTAACGTCTACTCCCCCATTGACATTTTCGATAACTCCCACAAACGCTGTCAGTTCCCCCACTTCTATCATTTCTATTCCAGTGACCACCCTTACCTTGACATCAACCACCAGTGTGCCTCTGACCTATCCACCTTTCTCTACCACACAGCCGGGTGACACTAGGATGACAACCACAATCCCCGTGTCCACCTTGATCAACTCAGTCCCTTCTACGACGTCAATGTACAGCCGTGTCCCTCCCACTACTCATGTCAGCATGACCACAACAGAGATTGGTACTCACACTGACACTTCGACATCTGCCACCTCGATCACAGCAACATCCTCTGCTCGCCACACTACGGAAAGGGTCATGACTTCTACCACTGACATGGCAACAACCCCCTCCCCGGCCAGAACACAACATACTCTGGCCGTCACCTCTTCAAATAGCTACTCCACCGCCATTACACCCTCATCTACACTGTGGCCAGTTTCCTCCACCAATGCGAAAACAACACTTAGTGTGACGACAGCTACTCCACCGCCATTACTCCCTCATCTACACAGAGGCCAGTTCCCTCTACTCCTGGCACGGTGCGGACATCAACAACCAGAATCCCATCACATGTTAGTACAGAAATCCCTACCATTCACAGTCTTCCAGAGCAGTCCAACTCCATCCCTCCCTACAAGCAGTCTAGTCACATCTGCAGGCTCCACAGCCAGCAGCAGTACCATGACCACTCAGACACTGAGTCCCAGCTCACCTGCAACGAGCCCTACACCAATCCACACAAATACTAAATCCACCGTGGCATCCAATATGGCGTTTCCATACACATCAGCCACAAGCACACAAACACTGTCCTTCACTGCAGCCACTACCCAAACAGGGAAGATGACAGACACTACCTACTGTGACGTGTCCACCTTGAAAACCACGGTTAATCCTATCAGTGATGACTCTGCCAAGTCTCTCACAACACAGCTGTCATCTACTCTCTCAATGACATTCTCAATAACTCCCAGAACTACAAGCAACCTTGGGTCTTCTACTACCACTAGGGACTTCGCCTCAATAGTCACACCTTTTTCTACCACACAGACGGATCACTCAACCATAACATTCACAACCAACTCCATTACCTCACTCCCTTCTACTACAGCAACACTTACCTCTCCATCTCTTTGTAGCACTGTCCTCACAGGCAGAAAAGAAATCACTAATCTTACCCATGTTTCACAGTCTATCTTGAACAGATACAGTAATTTTTCCAATCTTTCAATTTTTCGAAGAACCAAGAGTGGTACCACAACAATGGCAATGAGCCCTTACCAGACAACACTGCAAAGTACTTCAAGTGTTTCTCCCACACCTTTTCCTTCCATACTGGGTACATCTACAAATGCAATAATCTCTTCCTTTAGTACTGTTATCTTCTCTTCATTATCCACAATAATAACGTCTCCTTTTTTCTCTTCCATCAGTGAAAATTCCATGCTCACTAATACCACTAACCTTTTTCCTACCTCCCTATATTCTTTTAGTACACAAAATCCAGCCACTCCTGTCACTACTTTTCCTACTCCTTTTTCATCTGAAACTACAAGAACTTCTCCAAGTTTGTCTTCTCTAACTTCCTCTTCTACTAAAACAACCGCCACTCTTGCTATTTCCTCCATTACCCCATGTCCAGAATCTATATCCATTACAATAGTTCCTACTTCTCCCATCACTCCATGTATAGAAATTGATCCAAATAGTAAAGTTACTTCTACACCTACTATCCCATTATCATTCTTTACCTCTACTACTGAGATGGCCACCACCCCTTCTATTTACACCAGTATGACAACTGTATTTCCCACACATACAGACACTTCCACTTTGGTTCTAGAAACTGACCCCACCAACATCATATCTGATGTTCCTAGTTCTCTCAGCACTGGGACTTTCCCCATTAACACAGTTTTGACAAGCACACAAGGAACCAGCAGTGAGACCTCGATAAGCACCTACTCTGTAACCACCCCACATGTGCCCAGCTTCACTAGCCTCCCAGCGACCGTGAAACCAAGTAGCAGCCTTCCAACTGCCACGACGACTTCAAGCAAATTGACAAGCACCACTCCGGTCACCACCAGAGCTCCAGAGAAATCAGTGGCCACCACTCAGACTCCCGCCAATTTTTTGTCATCCAGGACAACTTCGACCACTACTCAGATGATCACACAGTCTAGATTGACCACCACTCCAGGTTGGACCTCCTCCCTCCCCTGCTAAATTCCCATGTCACCAATGTCAGACCCTATTCTGAACTTCTCTTTCTTCCTATGCTTCCCAGGCACCTGTGACAATGGTGGGACCTGGATACAGGACCGCTGCCTTTGCCCCTCGGGGTTCTCTGGGGACCGTTGTGAGCTCCAGAGGAGCATGTGCCAAAATGGGGGTCAGTGGGATGGCCTCAAGTGTCGCTGTTCCAAAAATTTCTATGGCTCCCGCTGTGAGTTTGCTGTGGACCAGGTGGAACTGGGTGAGTTCCCAGGGCTCTGCTCTCTGTTTGGCCTGGAGATACCCAGGCAGTTTTATCCAATCCTTCTCTCCTTACCTTCTCTCCCGTGCCTTCCCTTATCCCATCTTATGCCTCCTCTCCACACTCACCTCCAGGAGGTGGCTAGGACCACATTCCTTCTCAGGCTTCCTTCCAGTCTTGGTTGCTTGTAGCTCTATTTGTTTCTAATTGCTGCTGTAACAAACTACCACAAATTTAGCAACTGAAACAACACAAATTTCTTATCTTAAAGTTCTGTATAAGAAGTCCAATGTAGGTCTTGCTGGGTTAAAATCAAGGTGTCAGCAGGGCTGTGTTCCTTTTCGGAGAATCCATTTCTTTACCCTTTCCAGCTTCTGATGCTTTTCACATTCTTTGTCTTGAGGCCCCCTCTCTCTACATTCAAAGCTAGCAACACTGCATCTCTGTGCCTCTTCTCTGTACTCACATCTTCCTCTGACTGATTCTGACTTTTCTACTTCTCTATTCTACTGTTAAGGACCTTGTGATTATATTGGGCCAACTGGATAGTACATGTTAATTTCCCCATAGTAAAGTCAGTGACTAGCAGTCTTAATTACCTCTGAAACTTTGGTTCCTCCTTGCCCTGTAGTAACATATTCACAGATTCTGGGGATTAAGACATAGGTATCTTTAGAGACCAATATTTTGCCTCCCACTGGGGCAGACAAGGGAGAGACCGTAGGCCTGGCTCTGTACACCCAGACTCCATTCTCTCCCTCATCTCAGGACAACTCATCCCAGAATTCCTGCCCCTCTCCTTCCTGCTATTTAGTCAGTCCTCAGGGGACATGGAGAGGAGCCATGGGAGGATCCTCTGGGTTGGGGTGGTGGTGGTGATGTCAGACAGGAGTGGATGGTAAAGTGACCAGAACAGGACATGCTGTATGCAGACACAGTGGATGCTGAAGTGGGCATGGAGGTGTCTGTCCAACAAGATTTCACCTCAGAGCTCAATGACAACACTTCAGAGGCCTACATGGATTTCAGCAAAACCTTCCGAAATCAGGTGAGGAGGAAAGGGACTCAAGGGTCCTCCCCTGGAACTGAACTTGGGCTCCTGGGTGCCCTCAGGTCTGGAGGTTCAAACATAAGCCCAGGGATCCTTGGCATTTCAGATGCAGAAGATTTACCAAAATGTGCAGGGGTTCAAGGATGTGGAGATTCTGTCCTTAAGGTAGGAGACATTTTGGGGGCAGTGGAGGTAGTGTTAGATGGGGGAAGGGGGTTCAAAGAAAGACTGGAGAAGTTCTTGCTTTTGGAATCATCAGATTTCATAAAGGGGGTGGAGGGAGTATGCAAGGGAAGCACTCCATGCAATCAATTTCTGGGGTCATTTCTTTGTAAGAAGGATGCAACTCGTTTTTAAGTGCATTGGAAGGAGAGGGATTATATGGGACATACAGCAAGATGGTGCCTGTGAGGTGGTGGGAAGCCTGGTGTCTGGACTGCAGCTGGTTTCTCTCTGGCTGGTACCTGGTCTGTTTGGTGAGTCAGCATGAGTGAGGCAGAGAGCCTGGTTTGGTAACAGCTTGAGGCAATGCAAAAGAACAGTAATCATTCTTTGTCCCAACTTCCCAGGCTAATGACCTCAGGGATGCTGGCAGCCCTTTCTGAACATAACGTGTCTGGAATCCCAATCATTGCCTCTGCCCCTCTTCCCCAAACACCCACTCACCTGTGGTTGATTCTGGAGATGCCCTACTAAGAATCTATGCGCCCCAGGCCTGGGTACCTTTTAAGGACCTCTCACCCCCTCAAACCCCTCAGGAATGGCAGTATTGTGGTGGACTATCTGGTTCTGCTGGAGTTGCCCTTCAGTGCCCAGATGGAGAACACGTATGAAAATGTGAAGATGACCCTGAAGAAGGAGCTCCAGAATGTCAGCGAGGACCAGGATAGCTGCCAGAATAACCAGGGTGAATAGCAGTTGGGGGCCTTGGGCTGGGGGTCACAGCTACCATCCCAACCTTCTCTAGCTCAGATAGGGGCCTCCTGGGTTTAAGTACCAGTCTTGTGGAGGTTAGAAGGAGCAACACAGGTCCACAGACAACTGAGTTAAGGTTGGGGCTAAGGAGGGGCTGGGTGCTGGGGAAGAGACCCCTATGACAGTTCTCAAGGTTTCCAGGATGACTGAGGATCCCTAATTATTTGGGAGAGATGAGTGAGGCCAAAAGAGCCATCCCTTGAGCCCATTCATGTCTCCTCCATACTAACAGAGCTCTGGATTCCCCGCACTGTGCTTGCCCTGCTTCCCTGGCCCTGACCCCGTGACACCCCCTAACCCAATTCCACCTGTACTTGTGTCCCTCCAGTCCTGTGTTTTAAGCCTGACTCCATCAAGGTGAACAACAACACCAGGACTGAGCTGACTCCGGAAGGTGAGGGGAGGGCAAAGGGCTAAGTGGTCCAAGGAGGCCATGGCTCCTCCCAACCAGAGACATCTCTGCCCGTTGAAATTCCCTGGGGAGGAGGGGGAGATATTTTGGGGTGGCAAGCGATGTGGCCCAGCAGGGCTGCCCTTCCTGGGGGCAGCAAGGAAGGTGAGGAGAGGGTGAGGGTCCTGGGGATTTGTCCTCTCCTCATCTAATTCCAGTGTCTACCACATGACCCGCCCCCCCCACCCCGGAAATGTAGCCCTCCGCATCCATTTTCAGAGTCATTAAAACCAGGCCCCTGAGTAGAGTGGATGAAGTTGTTCTCTTTGCAACCCCTTACCCTCTCCCTAGCCCTCTGTCGTCGCGCTGCTCCTCAGGGTTATGAGGATTTCTATTTCCCCTTGGTGGAGGAGAACCAGCTCCGTTGCGTCACCAATTGCACATCCGGTGTGGATGGCGCCATTGACTGTAACCAGGGCCAGTGCTTTCTGGAGAGGAGCGGTCCCTCTTGCCGGTGAGGCCCCGCTCATACAGGGATCCCCTGCACCACCTCACCCAGGCCTCCCCTATTGACGCCCCGCCCACTAGCCCTAAGGTGGAGCCCCGTCCACCTGCCTGCACGGTGGGAGGTCCAGGTGCACAAGTGGACCTCCCAGGGTTGGCGGGGGATAGTGAGAGTGTGTGACTTGTGCCCTCCTCCTCCAGCTGCTTTTCCACAGACACGTACTGGTTCTCCGGACCTCGCTGTGAGGTGGCCATCGCCTGGAAAGCCTTGGTGGGGGGCCTAGTGGGGGCCGCTGCACTGCTGCTGCTGCTGCTGGCACTCAGCGTCTTCGTCGTGCGCTCACGCTCACGTAGGAAGAACGACCAAGGCAGAGGCAGGTGAGTGTTCTGGGGTTGCGGATGAGGGCGGTAAAGGGGTCTCAGACTGCAAGGCCCTGCCCTGACCACATGGCGCCACGAACCAGGTCCTGGGACGACGACAAGAAATGGTTCGAGATGTGGGATGAGAACACCGTGGGGACTTTTACAAACTCGGGCTTTGAGGACGACAGAACAGGTAAGTCTTGCCTTCCTGGGAAGAGGGGCAAGGGCTTCCCTGGCACCACTGTGGCCTGGATAGGACCCAATGACCTCCCTTGCCTAGGACAGGTATATATCTCCGTCAGGGGAGCTTAAGTCGTGCTTGCCCATGCCCCTCCTGAGGAAGGCCAATGTCCTGCACAGGCCATTCCCACAGGGCAGGCACAGGGGCACAGGAGCACCCTGAACCTTGCCTAACTCATGTTTCCTTCCTTCCCCCTGTTTTTCTCTCTTCCTTTCTCTTTTCTCATTTTCTAGTCAAGGAGGAAAACTTCCATGTAGCCTTGGAGAATGTGGACACCAGTATGAGGGTGAGGGGGCAAAAGGGGATGGATGGTAAAGAGCTCTCCCAGATCCAGCTCCACATATCACTGCCTCCCCCCTCCCCGCCCAATTCCCCGCAGCAGGCTGAGCTAGGACCAGAAGACAGTGACCTCCCAGTCAGCCTGAGCAGGATGGCTCCCTCTTCTCACTCCCTTTCTCAAACACTCTGTGGCAGGTATACACCCAGAGACCTGAGGTGGCCATGTCCTCACCGTGAGCCCTGCACTACCCTCTCTACCCTGCTCTGGACGTCGGGAAGGAACCATCTACACTGTGTTCATTTTGAGAGATGGTCTAGGTCTTTCTCCCAACTTGGGTGAACCCCCCCTGGAGATCCAGTTCAGTTCCAGGTTCTTCAAATGTGAGACTTTGGGCAAGTCAGTAACGTCTCTGAACCTGTAAAATGAGTATAGCATACTCATTCTGATATCTTGTACAGTTATTGTGAAAACCAGAAGTGTTCAGTCAGTTCTCTATCCTAGCTCACCTTCCTGTGTCAGCCCTCCTGCTTTGATGGCCTCTCTCAGATCCCCTGTCCCCACACCCTTCATGGGTCTCAGGCCTTAGTCTCAACTTTTCTGTGTGCATCCCTACTGCCTATTCCTCATCCTACACCTAGAGTCAGCCCACAGCCCATCCCAGCCTCTTACCCTCTCCTTATGTAACTCCCTGCCGTACTCCTTGTTCCCATTCCTTAAATCTTCTTACCCTCTGAACCCACTTCTTAAATTATGCCTCCCTCACCTCCCTCAGTGTTTGTACTCTTTTCTTCCCCAACCTTGTATCCTCAGACCTAAATCCTTACTCCCCACTCCAATGCCTCAGTCTTAAATCCTCTTTCCTCCCCGACATCCCTGTCCCTAGCTAGGTACAGATGCCCTCTGCATTTTAGGGTTGCCACTGTGTTCCCTAGGCCCTGGTCCTCCATTCTGAGGCACCATCCCTTCCTCTCATCCCCAAAGGCCCTGGATTGCTGTGGGTGCGAGGGTGTGGGATGTGGGTTTCTCCAGGTCCTCCAGGATGAGAGGAAGTAGGGCCCTGAGGTAGAGAAGCTTCTCAGCCTCCTCCCCCTCATTCCTCTTACTCTCCTTCCCCTCCCTACTGCCTCACCCCCCTTCTATCCCCTTCCCTGCCTCTCCTCCTCACCCTCTTCCCACTCTCGCCCCTTTCCCAGAAGTAACCTCTGAGGCCAGAAGCCCCCAACCTCCTGGGCAGGAAGGTCTCTTTTGGGGATAGGAAGTCTGTGAGTGTCCAGTTCTCCCATATGAACACAATATAACATTTATTGTAAAAGAAGCTGCTCTGTGTCTTTCTCATTCTCACTTCCTGGTGCCTCCACTTGGTTGGAGAACAGAGACATCTGGAGGAGATGTGGTAGGGGAGCCTGGGAATGCTAGTTCCTTCCAGCCAGGAAGGAAGGGGTCTGTGGGCAGCCCTTAGAGGCCTTTACTGTCCTCATAGGGAACATAGAGATTGAGGGGATCATTTTCTGAGGGAGCGGCCTGGGGGTGAGAGCCTCTTGATCAACAGCAGGTGGAGGCATGTTAGGTTTGTCATCTGTGCCCTTCCCTTCTTAATATCAGGAGCTTGGGGCTGGGTCAGGTGGGGAGTAGCCCAGGCTGGGTCAGCTGCTATTTGCACTGATGGATATGATATGCTGGGCCTCCCCCCAAATCCTGAGCCTTGAGCCTCCCCAAACCTGGGGGGAGACACACTCACACGAGGGACTACTGTGTTTAGGGCTTGGGACCTCCCGTTCCCACTATTCTGTGCAGCAGACCTGCTAGACTAGAGCTGAGGGTAGTTGGAGGTGACAGTGTGAGGTCCTTTGGGTGGGGGTTTGGGAAAAGCCCCTGGGACCTTTGCTCAGGACCAGAGGGACTGGCAGTGGCCAGGGGTAGAAAGCAGGATCGTACAGACTCAGGTGTAAATAGAGCCTCACTCAGGAAGGGGTGGGTGGTCGGAGGCCTGGTAGAAAGAACATGTATGTGGTTGTGCAGGAGAACTGAGGCATATGAGTGCCTAGAAGGTAAGGGGATGTGTATCAGGTAGGTGTGAGGTTCAATGGGGAAAGTACAGTGGTGAGGGAGGATCTTTGGATGACAGGAACATTAAAGTCACCAAAAGACCTCCATGGGTGAGTCATCCCTGCCATGACAAGTCTGAAGAGAGGCACTGAGAGCCATCTTGACATGAAGCCATCAGGATCCAGTCAGGGATCCAACTCCCCTGGTAATGGAGAAGATGGTTCCATTTGATGATGGGCTATGGGGGCACCGAGATAGATGGTCCTAAATTCTGTGTGACTGGGGGTGGCAGGGCCTCTTTTTGCTGGTTGACTATGACCTCCAAGTGGGCCTGTTGAAGTTGGGGTGATCATGTAGTTTCTGGGTAGAGCTGATCTGGAGGCCTGGGGCTCAGGAGGGAGCACAGGAATACAATTCATTCTCCATAAGCTGCAGGGGCTGCAAAGTCCAGACAATGCCGGGATCAACTGAGGGTTGGTACCTGTATCCTGTTTTGTGCATATGAAGTTCCAAAGTGCTCAAAGTAAGGGTGGCGGAGCAGGGTTCCTCAGGAAGGCAGTGGGGGACAGTGGGGGAGACTGTTCTGGAGGGGTTGGGACAGGAGCTGGAAGGGGTCAGAGCTCTGCAGCCTAGAAAGGTGAAGGTGGAGGTGGAACTGATGAACAAGTACAAAATTGGGAAGAGTGTGGTGAGGGTGAGAACAGATTTGTTCACAGTTGACAAAAGGGTAACTGTGTTTTGTAAATTTAGAGCAGTTAAAAGGAAGTGCTGTTTTATACAGAGAGTAATAAACTTACTCATTCAGTAAACACAAGAGGCCTGGCTCAGCCTGGCCAGGTGCTTGGTGCTCTGGATGAGGCAGGATGAATACACCAGTTTATAATCAAGTTTTTTTTTTTTTTTATAGGAACATGGGAATAATGCAGAAATAACTACAATCCAAGCCTAGTGAGGCTCCAAGAGGGGTCCAGGATGATGGAGTGTAGAGATGGGTCTCAGGGCTGCTCCTGCCTAGGCTGATCTCAGAGGCTACAGGGAGAGGTGGTATTAGAGTTTGATATCAGGGAGGAAGTATTAATAGTTACTCAAGGCCTTAGACAAATTCAGAACTGACAAAGCCATACGTTGCTATAGAGAGAATCAGAACATTGATTAAAAAATTCCCTGGGGTACAGCGAATTGAGAAGCCACACTGACTCTGTAGTCTGGTTACTATATGAATCATCAAAATTGCTAATGTTTATTGAAGGTCTGCTATATGCAAGACGTTGTTCTAAATGATGACTATGATCACATTTAACTTTCCCAAAAACTTAGGAGGAAGAGCTCTTATTGATTTCTGTATTATACATTAGATTTATTCTATGGGCAGTTCATATTTTAATGGCTGATCAGTATTCCATTCTATGAAATGTCATAGTCACCTAACTAGTCTCCCATTCTTTGATTCTTGGACACCTTACTTTTTCACTATAACAAATAATATAATAAACATTCTCTTTAAAAAATTTTTAATCTCCATCAGATTATTTTAGGAACAGTAACTAGAAATGGAATAATTAAAATGGTGTGACTCTATGGTTCCTGATTCATATTTTCAAATCATCCTCTAGAAATATGATACTAAGTTAATGTCCAATGGCATCACATGAGACTGCCCCAATAAACAATAGCTATTATTATAATCTAACATCACTGAGGAGGTGCAATTTCATAGATAAAAATAAATGGTATCTTGCTTTGTTTTGAATTTCTTTGCTTACTGGTGAAGTTGATTTACTATTTTCTTCTCATAGGGGTGTTGGCCATTTGAGTTTCTCTCTTTGGGGAATGTCTGTGCCTTTCTTTGCTCAGCTTCCCAGGGGAGCGTCCCTGACTCTGGAGGTTGACTTTGAGAAGGACAGCCTCGCTTGCTCTGCCATATCCTTTGGGGATGCCGTTGCCACCAGAATCTTAGACTAGGAGGGGTCTGAAGCTCTTCACCCAGGCCATTGTTCTGGGGAGCATTTCCTTGTCTCTCCCAGGAGTGAGTGAAAGCATTGGGCACAGAAGGGATTGCCTGCCTGGAGAGTGGGGGGTGAAGCAGAGCCTTTAGCTTGGGGCTTCCACTTAGACAGTGAGCAGGGAAGAATAGCAGAAGTGAGGAGAAGGATGAGTGGGAGGCGGTAGTGTCTTGGGACCTGAAGGAGACAAGAGATTTCAGAGGAGAAAAGGCAGCGGGATGAAATGGATAAGGAACCGGGCCCTCATTGCTCGTAGGTGTGGCCTGAGAGGCAACTGTCCTAGAGATGTGGGTGGTTAAGGACATACTAAGTGGCAACGAAATGGAATAAGTGGTATAAATCCAGAAATAAAGACAAAAGAGAGCAGGATGTCCAGAGTCCTGGCCTTCATTGAGGCCCTGGGTGGCCCACTATGTTGCTGCCATGCCCTCACTGATCTCCCTATCTCTGCCCTCATTGCCCCTTCAGTCCAGGGCTCTGCTTCTAAGGCACAGTTGTGATCATGGTATTTTGCTGGACATTCTTAACTGCCCCTCAGCCAAGTCCAGAGCTGGCTTCGCATCCACCTCGCCAACTTTTCGTCTGTCCCTGCTCATCTTTCAGTGTTCAGCTGCACCCCAAGCACACACACTGGGCCTCTACATGTGCTGCTCCCTCAGCTTGAAAAAATTTTTCCTCTTCTCTACTCTCCAAACCCTTTTCTTGTGGTAAAAGTAAAAGCCACCTTTAGATTGTGCTTGAATTTTAACTTATGAGCTGGCTGAACTGGGAAAGTATTTAACCCTCCGAACCTCGGTTCATGTGTAAAACAAAAATATTAATGTCAACCTCACATGATTACATTAGATAACTAAGAGAAAGTGTTTGGCAGAATTTCCAGTATTTGTTTACTCATTTACTTCAGAAGTGCTCATTGAGCACTTGCTCTGGATCAGGCTGAACAGGGCAGGAATGTTCTCTCCTCTCACAGAGACTCTGTTCTCAGAGAGGGGTGAAGGTACTCCATAGGCAATGACATTCACAGCCATCGAGTTACAGTCATTGAGTACAATGAGGCAAGTACAAGAATCTGATAGGTGGCCAATTAGTGCCACCTCTCCACGCCCCTATTCATTCTTTGTGATTCAGTTAGGGGCATGATCATAAACTGCCTTTATATGCCTTTTCATTGTTTTACTTTTCTACTT